ATTAAACAGAGTCTTACTCTGTCACCCAGGCAGGCGTGCAGTGGCACAATCTCGGCTCACTGCAACCTCTGCCACCTGGGTTCAACGATTCTCCTGTCTCAGCCGCCTGAGTAGCTGAGATTACAGGTGCGTGCCACCACACCCAGCTCACTTTTTTGTATTTTTAGTAGAGATGGAGTTTCACCATGTTGGTCAGGCTGGTCTTGAACTCCTCACCTCATGATCTGCCCGCATCGTCCTCCCAAAGTGCTGGGATTACAGGCCTGAGCAGCCGTGCCCGGCCTAAATTGACTTTTTCAAAGGCTGGTAGAGTGTCTGTGAGCAAGAATATTGGTGTCCTACAACGCTTAGCATTTTCCTATCAAACCTGGAAAATGTGCCACAGTAAATGTTCTAGTCAGTCAGGTAGATGGAACTGAATTGGGGAAGCATTATCAGTTTTAAAGGAAAGATTCCAAATGCCAAGCAATCTGTTGTCTTCAGGAGCAATAATCATTTTTCACTTCATGTCAATTTGACTTTTAGGTAGGAATAGATATGGGCTTGGGAGAAAGGCTTAATATTTACAGAAAAAATAGCAACACCACAGAGAAAGCCAGATAAGGTATTTTGATTGGGAACAGTTCACCCCCATTACGTGATTCACTTACCTCCTTGGAAATCTAACATGTATAAAAGCTATTATGGTAATTGGATGAAATGTGGCCAAAAGATAAAAAAAACTGAGGAGCTTGTGTTCTCAGAGGTGGGTGTGTGACAAGAATCCTTCAGGTTAGGAAATGGAGCATAACCAGTGCTCTCTGTTAAGAGTGTTTACTGTTTACAGTGTGTATGGAAAAGTTAGTTTCTGTAATTTAGAAGGAAGGTATTACTAAAGATTTTTCCAGCTGAAAGTCTGGCTGACTCATGGGTTATGTCACCTTTTGATTTAAATTTTACTTAGTGCCATCTTGGCCAAAAAGAAAAAAAAAAAGATACCTTATTGAATAGAACATTTTCATTACAGACAAAGTACACTATAATGCAGTTTTAAATCTACAAGACACTATATATCGCATTTAAATTTAGTTTTAATAGCTACTTCATAAGCAGTTTAATTCTCAAAAATGTTAATTAGCAATCTGCTTCTGTTATAGAGGCAAATGTAGTTATTCTATTTAAAAGTGATTAATAATTTGATAACGAATTATGTAAATGACTCTTTAAAGGAGCAGTGTAACTATCACCATGAGGTAAGCGCATGACAAAATTTCCAACTGGCAGTTCTGCAATTATATTATTTTTGAGATGGAGTCTCAGTCTGTTGCCCAAGCTGGAGTACAGTGGTGTGATCCCAGCTCACTGCATCCTCCACCTCCTGGGTTCAAGCGATTCTCCTGCCTCAGTTTCCTGAGTACCTGCGATGACAGGTGCGTGCCACCATGCCTGGCTAATTTTTTTATTTTTAGTAGAGATAGAGCTTCACCACGTTGACCAGGCTGGTCTCAGACTCCTGACCTCAAGTGATCTGCTCACCTCGGCCTCCCAAAGTGCAGGGATTACAGGTGTGAGCCACCGCACCTGACCGATTCTGCAATTATTTGAAAACCTACTTTGCATAGACTTTGTGCCATGAAAATGAGTGGGAAGTAAATTCCTAAATTAGAGCTTTCACTCCAGGTTAAGTCAAAATCTCCTTTACTTAATGCCAGTATCTCAAACCCTGTTCCAGTGAATGAGGACCGTTTTGTTTCTTGAAGCCTTTCTCCTGTTAGGAAAGAACGCTAAGGAAATTAGGGTGGAACCATCCGAAATTCGAAGTCTTCCATTGTCTCCAAGAAAGGTCCTAATTACGCACTACTGTGGGGCCCACATCGCCCTCTGGTGGTAGTCTCAGGGCTGCCACAGCTGTGGGTTGGTCTTTAGAATCATAGCAAACTACAGAAAGGAGAGTTCACCTCCTTCGTAGTGACCAAGGTCAACAAACTCTGTAAAAGGCCAGAAAGTGAGTATCTTAGACTTTGCAGGCCACACAATCTGTCACAACAACTCAACTCAGCTTTGTAGTGTGAAGCAGCCACTGGCAATATGTAAATGAAAGTGGCTGTGGCCAAGTGTGGTGGCTCATGTCTATAATCCCAGTACCTTGGGAGGCCAAACCAGAAGGATCACTTGAGGCCAGGAGTTAAAGACCAGCCCAGGCAACATAGCAAGACCTCGTCTCTACAAAAAATGAAAAAATTAGCCAGGCGTGGTGGTATGCACCTGTAGTCCCAGCTACTCAGGACGCTGAAGCAGGAGGATCATTTTAACCCAGGAGTTTGGGGCTACAGTGAGCTGTAACTGTGCCATTGTATTCACTCTATTGCCTGGGCAATAGAGTGAAACCCTGTCCTGAAAAAAAAAAAAGTATGACTATGTTCCAATAAAACCTTATTGAGGGACACAGGAATTTGAATTTTGTATAATTTGCATATGTCACAAAATGATGTCATTTTTTGGCTTTTTCTCCTCATTCAAGGAAATAAAAACATTCTTAGCCTGTGGGCTATACAAAAACAAGCAATGGCCGGGCACGGTGGCTCAAGCCTGTAATCCCAGCACTTTGGGAGGCCGAGACGGGCGGATCACGAGGTCAGGAGATCGAGACCAGCCTGGCTAACACGGTGAAAC